CTCTCTCTCTCTCTCTCTCTCTCTCTGTCTTTTTTATCTTTTTTATCTCTTTTATCTTTCTCTCTCTAGAAGATGTATTTAGATACATTTTGGTATTTTATTGTATAAATGTTAAAATACCTTTCTGTGGTGGAGGTAGCATGAAATATGCTATACAGTACACAAATAAAGCAGCAAGCCATGTTAGGTACAGTCATTTTTTTAAATCACTCACTGTGAGATGTCTATGCATGTCATTGCAAACTGTATCCAAGTATCCAAGACATGTGGTTGAGCCAGCTCTAAGATTTGACCACTGAACAGTTGTTCACTTGTTTGACCCTAAGAAGATATAGCTTAAAGTCTCTGTTTAGCCACACATCTTATAAAGATTGTATGCTGAAACCAAAAACAGCTTAAACTTAGAACAATTCTTTCTCTTTTTCTTCAGATATGTAGTAACTGCAGTGAAGCAGGAGCAAGTGTCGGGTGTCTAGGAAAAGGGTGCTCTCTCCTGGTCCATGTGCCGTGTGCCACCCAACTCCAGTGGACTTTGGATCACAATACCTTCAAATCCCTCTGCCCCAAGCATAGTGTAAGTAGCTAGAAGGCTCGGCACAAGCCTCAGCTTCTAGTGCTTTGATTGGAAGGAAGTCTTGGGTTTGTTTTCCTGTCTCTCATCTACTGAATTTTTTGTTATCAACTATGTCTTATGCCATTCAGCTTTGAAGAGATTTTTAATCATTATTTTTTTTCACGTTATCTATTTATCATTATTATTATTCTTTTTTTTATTCCAACTTTTGTGTTCCAATGTTGTATGAGATATGGAAATGATTTCTTATGGTACTTTGATACTCACTATTAGCATTATCATTTATCATTGTATAGAGGTGTCTTCCATAAATCTATTTTTATTTATTACGTAATATCATTGTCCTTTTTAGTACCATTTTGTTGTGTCTGTACAGGTTATGGATATTGTTTTTGCCAGAAATCCTAGGGGACTTAATGTCTCTCATTTTATAAATCTGGTAATTATTTTATTACTTACCAATTTCTAGATGATGTTGTATCCCTTGGAAATTTTGGTTGTTTATGTATGGAAATTCATTTGGTTATATATATTTACTTTTTCTTTTGTCTCTCTATTCAAGAAATTGTCTCTAGTGTATATAATATGAGTGAAAATTTAGTGAGGAACTGTACTTTTTTCTGTTTATTTTTTTTTTGTTTTCCTTTGCCTTCTTTGTGTAGGTTTATATTAGAGAAAGTTCTTCAGTGGATTACTATCTTCCAGACTTATTTATTATTATAGAAAAAAAAAGGATTCCGAATGTAGGAGAAAATATTGTATTTCATGAAATACACAAGTATGCACAAATATGCAGTAGTTGAAAGTGTAGACGATGCTGTATATGAACAAAAAAAAATGTAAGATTTTTTAAAGGTTTTGATTTGTCATTATTATTTTCATTATTTAGTATTATCAATTTATTTTGTATTGTAACAATATGAAATCCTCAGGGAACTTAGTAGGGATTTTGAATAAGTGACAGATATAGCATTGAGAACTTTTTTTTCCATATAGAGAAAGTAGTATCACTGATTTGATATTTCAGTCGATAGATATATCTTGGTGAACTTTAGAATACTAGTAATGATGCTATGGCAAAACCTGTACCCTTCAAATTTCCCTCATATCAATGCAAATTTCTATACACTGGTTCTGTTAATTCTTTATGTGGCATTTATGTAGTGAGATACTTATTTTTGTTTTTTTAACATCAAGTCATTTTATGTTTTACTAGGATTTTTAAGTGGAGGAGCAGAAAAAACATAAGGATAGAAATGCCGTCTTTGAATGTACAGATGCATTTCCTCTGATAGGACAGGTGTGTTGGTAGGCATCTAATTGTTTTGTGATAATGTTGTCATGGTCTTTTATTTTTACAGGGAGGGACTGTGGGAATGTATATTATTTTTAATGTATATTTATTTTATGTGAAACATGAAAGTATGTATTTGAAATTTTTTTCATAAAGGAATATCAAATTTATGAATGTTTGAGAACCTTAACTTTTTTTTTTCTTTTCTTTTTTTTTTCATTATTGTTATATTTTTATTTTCTTTACAATGTAACTGGCTGTTGGATTATAACTGCACTTGTTTACACCCTCGGCAGCATTATTAATGTACTTTATCATGACTCAAAGGAAAGTTAGCCTGCTCTTCATAGTTTCATAGTTCATCTTGCATCTATAGGGCAAAATTACTACTACTGGTCATTTTTCCACTTTTTTTTTTTTTTTTTTTTTTTAACACTATGCTTAAATATACAGTAGACCCTCCTCTATCAGTTTCCTTTATTGTGAATTCACTCAGTGCGATAAATATTATGCCATGTTCTCCTGGAAAGTGCTTTTTGTATTTTGTAACAAATGAGAGTTTAAATTGATCAGGCATAGTGAGCGTG